GGCAGTCTTTGTAGTAATGATGAGGTGCATTACTGAGCTTATCTTTTTGCAATTGTTTACTGTTTTGCATTAAAGTAACATTACGCACTTGTTCCTTAAGGTTGGTGTCTGTGTCTCTTGTGCTGACCCTCATCCCCTTGGCAAAACAACTTGAGGTGTCACCGTGTGCTTGTCTGTGACCTCTCTACTTCTGAGCAGGCTGGAGACACCTCTGATGTCACCATGGAACCCCTGTTACTGTGCATGACTTAATGGATCTTTAGGACCCGAGAGACCTCTGGGATGTCATCATGCAGCACCTGTCACAGCCAGTGACCTCATGGCTCCTTAGAAGCCCTAGAGACCCCTGGAAAAACCTGGATGACAACTTAATGAAACAGATCCTAAGGGAACTGACTCGGATCAGTGCCCTCCTTGATCTGCTACTTGTCCACAGAGAGGATCTCATGAGCAAGTGGAGATTGGGACCATCTTGGCCACAGCAACCATGAAGGGATCGAGTTTAAAATCTCTGTTGACAGGAGGAGAAATGCCAGCAAAACCTCACCTCTGGCCATGAGGAGAGCAGACTTCAGGATTGAAAATGTTTTTTGCACATGCTGGGGTCCATCAGCCCATGGCTGGGCAAACACATCATGGGGTGGATGAGCAATTGGCTCATGGGTCGAGCACAGAGGGTGACATCAGACTGGTGACCTGTCACTAGTGGGGTTCCATAGGGCTCAATCTTGGGCCCTGTGCTCTTCAACATCTTCATAAATTACTTGGACACAGGACTGGAAAGGACACTTTGCAGATGACACAAAACCGGGAGAAACTGTTGACTCCTTTGAAGACAGGGAGGCCCTGCAGAGAGACCTGGACAAATCCGGGGACTGGGCAATCACCAACCACAGGAAGTTCAACAAGGAGAAGTGCTGGGTTCTGCCCCTGGGATGGGGCAATCCTGGATGTACGGACAGACTGGGAATGAGAGGCTGGAAAGCAGTGCCAGAAAAGGGCCCTGGGGGTCCTGGTTGGTGGCCACTTGGCCACGAGTCAGTGTTACGACCCGCCCCAGAAAAAGGGGAGGAGTGTAACCCAGGTTCTTATCAATAATTCCCTTGGGGTGGATTAGAGTGAAACGACACTGAATAATCAGTGTCTGAAAACATATATTGGTAAGGTTTATTTTAACAATTTTGTATCAACAGGTATGCTAGCATTTTGGGTGTTGTCATATAACAATGTGACATAGAGATAACCTTTGGGGGGGGAGAAAATGCATAGGGGAGAGAAAGACAGGATAAGAGTAAGGGAGAGTAATGAAAAAGAAAAGCTGAGAGTGGACAAAATGTATATAGTCACCACCCACGGGGTCCAACAATGACACTTGGGAGTTGCCGCTTCTATGTCTGTCAGTTGAAGTGGTGGCCTTGATCTGCTGAGGGTGAAGGAGGGAAGCCCCCACACGCCAAGAAGTTATGAGTTATTATATCCATGGTTAGTGTCACGGGCCATGCCTCCAGCCTCCAAACTCTCCCCTGGGCCTGCGCAGTTTCTGTGTCTGGCCTGGTTCCCACCTTTTTAAGATTGGCAGAGGAGGGGATGGGCTTTTATGGGTCATCAGAGGTCCTGCCTTTTCAGGCAGGGCTTGACACCTTCAGCACTGGAGGGAGGGATGGGCCCAATTGCCCATCAGAGGTATAATACAACAGTCAAAAGCCTGCAAACTTGGCTCTTCACTGGAGGGAGGGACAGGCCCAACTGCCCATCAGAGGTACAATGCAAAGGTCTAAATCTTGCAAGAGTCTCCTAGAATGCATAAATCTTCAATCATTTCAGTCTCTGACAGTCAGCAGGGCCCTGGCAACCAGAAGGGACAACCCTGTCCTGGGGGCATCAGGCCCAGCATGGCCGACCGGGCCAGGGAGGGGATTGTCCCGCTCTGCTCTGCCCTGGGGCGACCTCACCTCAATATTGGGGCAGTCTGGAGGGACACAATGGAAGGGACAGATTGAGCCATTAGAGAGTGTCCAAAGGAGCGTAATGAAGATGAGGAAGGGCCTTGATTTGAAACCATGTGAGGACACTGAGGGCACTTGGTGTGTTCAGCTGGAGCAGAGGAGACTGAGGGGAGACCTCATGGCAGTTCCAGCTTCCTCAAGAGGGGCAGAGGAGGGGCAGACCCTGAGCTCTGCTCTATAAAAGTTGAGGGAAAATTTTGGAAAATCAAGGAGAGAGGAAAGGGAGAGAGAACATTGAAGCTGAGAATCTCTCCCCACCTCCCCCTCACCTTTCCTCCGCCAGTGGGTGCTGCCAGCAGGTGCTGCCACTGGAGAGTGGAGCTGTGCCAGCGTGGAGAGGACTGAGACCCACCGTGCCACCTGCGTGAGTTGTATCTTATCCTTCCACCCTGACCATATTTCTGAGGACCGAAAGGTGCGGCTGAACCAGGACCCTGCACGGCCTGGGACATGGCTCAGCATGAGCAGGGAAACCACACATCCTGGCTGCATTCCAGAGAACTAAAACTACTAACACCTCCCCCAGCTAAAGAGATAACATCGAAAAGCAGCAGAGACAGAGAAAATAAAGGGCAGAAACTGCTTCTCCCCCCCCCAACTTGGCAGAAAGGTAGTTTTGGTGGTATTTTTTCTCTGCTTCTAGAAGTAATCTTAGCATTTTCCAACCTTTTCTTATTTTTTCCTCTTTCCTCTTTGCATCTCTTAGCAATTAATAAAATCAGTTTTGATATCAATGGATAACTTGTGTGGGTTTTAATTTTGTTCAAGAGAATATTCAAATCTGAAGTTCTTTCTGCAACATTTAAGCAGATTGTAACAATACTATAAAAGCCCAAATTTTAATGGAAGGATCTTCTGAATTATCCCTTCTTGGAGTGCAGAGATTCCTCCTCGGAGTGGGGACGCCCCTCAAGATCACTCCTTTACCCACAATTGTTGGTCTGGGTGAGTCACATCAACCTCTACTTGATTTTGCCAGCTTTACTATAATTGCTTCAATATTGCTTCCTAGTGCTCTATACTCTACTAATAGTTGTAGCTCCTACACGGTGTAGTAAATAATTCTAATTAAGGTCTTTTTGTCTAATCATTATCAGAATAAATCCTATATATTTATATAAATGTATTTGCTTTGCCATCCTTAATCCTGTGGGATAAAGTTGTATAAAGGCCCACTGGGCTCCCTGCACACCCAGTCTCCCCCAGTCAGACCAGTTTCCCCCCTGGCCCCAGGGCCCCAGTGAGGGCCCTGAGTCCTTTGAGAGGTCAAGGATCATCCCCATTCCCCACATTCCTACCCATTCTTGCCCTTTCCCACTTAATTTTGCCCATTCCAGTCGCTTCCTGCCCTCCAGGACACCACCTGAAGCTGCCACTGGGATCTTGCCCACGTTGGCTGGGCTCCAGCACCCCCAGGTACCTGCGCCAGGTGTGTTCCTCCACACATGGATGTCACAGGGACATCCCGGAATTATTAATTTTAAGGTTGTACCAAATCTGGGTGGTTTTGGGGACTATTTGCATGATTGCGTAATGACACTGAAATTCATCAACCAATGGGAAGGAAGGGGGCAGAGCTGGAAAGTTCTGTGGGCAAATACGGTGAAAAGTCCTAAGTTGTAACCACGGGAGGGCAGAGTGGGCAGCCCTGTTGGATTGGGGGTTCTGGGGGAATGGGGGGCCCAGGAGATGTGATTAAGGGGATTGGAGTCCCAGGGAATGGAGGTCCCAGGGAATGGGAGTCCTGGGATGCAGGTGCAAGGGAGGGGGACTTAGGGAATGGGGTTACCACGGGAATGGGGGTCCTAGGGACAGGGAACGGCTGAGTGGGTACGGGGGTCACGGCTCCTTCATTGGTGGCCTCAGACTTTGGGCTGACCAGGGTCTGGGGCAGCCTCCCAGGGGTACTTGTGCCCTGGGGGGGGGCACCCGAGGAGGATTCTGGGGGCTCGGGAGGGTTCCAGGGCTGTTCCCCCCCTTGCCCTGCCCTCAGGCTTTTCCTTCTCTTTATTTCTACGTTTTTCCATATTTTCCTGACTTTTGCCCCCTCCAAAGCCCCCTCTCCCAGGTCCTGGCTTGGCGAGCGGAGAGGCCACTAGAGCAGCTCCTGCCCAGATCCTGCACCTTCCCACTCCAGACAGATCTGTGCCCACACAAACAGACCCACCGCAGGTGCAGGCAGGTGACCCCAGGTGATTTTGGGGTCTTTTGGCTCACATTTGTATGTTTCAGTGATTTGGGGGGTCTTTGGCCTCATTTTCATGGTCTTTGGGCTGATTTTGGGGGGTTTGGGGCCCATTTCTTGGGTGATTTAGGCTGATTTTGGGGGTCTTTGGGCTCATTTGTGGGTGTTTTGGTTCAATTTTGGGGTGTTTCAGTGAATTTTTGGGCATCTTTTGGCCCATTTTGGGGACTTAAGACTCATTTTTGGGTTCTTTGGGCTGATTTTTGGGAGTTTTGAGCTGATTAGATGGGTATTTTGGATCATTTTGGATGTCTTTGGACAGATTGGGGGGGGGGTTGGCTCATTTAGGGGGACTCTAGGCTGATTTGGGGGACTTTGGGCTCACTCTTGGGGTGTTTGGAACTATTTTTTGGGTCTTTTAGTTCATTTTCCAGGTCTTTGACCTGATTTTGGGGGTCTTTTGCCTCATTTTTGCCTCATTTTTGAGATCATTGGGCTGAGTTTTGGGGTCTTTGGGGTAATTTTTTGGGTCTTTGGCTGATCTTGTGGTCTTTGAGCTGATTTTTGGGGCCCCAGAGACTTTGCCACTTTTGAGAAGAAAACAAAGATTATTCCTAAAAAATGTTATTTTTTTTAATTCACCAAAGGGAAAAACAGGAATTCTGGGGATTTTCTTCAAAAACTCCTATTTTCAAGCCGTGTTTTGGGGCTCCAGGACAATTCTGGGACTCAAATTTAAAAACAACCCCTGAAAAGTGAAGTGAAAAGTCCCCAAAACACAGAAAAATCACCCACAAAATCCCACTTCCTTTTTTATTTTTTACATTTTTTGACGTTTTTCCTGTTTTTGGGGGGACTTTTCAGGGCTCAAATATCACAAAAACAGCTCGAAAGGACTGAAAACAACCAGAAAAAAGGGATTTACATGGAAACTGGATCAGAGGTAAGGAGGGACCACATAATATGGAGCTGGGGAGCCCCAAAATGTTGATTTTAGGAGGTGAGATTTGGAACGGGGGAGGGGGGAGCCCACAACGTGGACCTGGGAATTCGGCAGCCTAAAAATGAGGAGTTTGGGAGGGGGGATCCCAAAATTTGGAGCTGAGGAACTCCAAAATGTGTATTTGGGAAGTGGAGAATCCCAAAATGTCAATTTTGGGAAGGGGGATCCCAAAATTTAGAGAGAGAGACCCAAAAATGTGCATTTTGGGAACAAAAGAACCTCACATTTTGGTGTTTGGGAACAGGGGAACCCAAAACATGGAATTTGGGAATTGGAGACCCCAAAATTTGGAGTTTGAGGGGGGACCACAAAATATGGAGTCTGGCAACCCCAAAATTTGGATTTGGGAAGGGAATACAAAATTTGGAGGGAGGGAACCCCAAAATGTGGAGTTTGAAAAGGGGGAACACCAAAATATGGACCTGGGATTTGGGGAACCCTAAAATATGGAATTTGGGAAACAAGAAACCCCAAGATTTGGATTTTGAGAAGGGAGATCCCAACATTTAGAGATGGGGAGCCCCAAAATGGGGTTTTTTGGAAGGGGGATCCCAAATTTTTGAGGGATGGATCCCAAAATTTGGATGGGGAGACCCCAAAATGTGAAACTTGGGAATGGGGACCCCAAAATGTGGATTTCGAGGGGTCATGGCCCCAGGGCTGCTAAAATTCATGTGTTTTTTTTTAAATTTCAGATTTTCCCACAGACTCCAGTGGATCCATGATGCCACTGCTTCAGGTATGGCTGGGCTCAGGATTTGGGGATCTTTTGGGAATTTTGAAGCATTTCGGGGTAAAAAAAGGGATTTTTTTCCCAGAACCAGAAAATTTTAATTCTTAAAAAATTCAAATGAAATTAATTGAATTAAATCCAAAACCAAGGAATTTGGGGGATTTCAGCCTAAAAAGTCAGTGGGAAAAGAGGAATTTGGGATGTAGTAACTGGGATGGGAGTAGGTGACGCCTCCCATGGTTCCCCCCCCCCCAGATCTTCCTCCTCTTACTTGGCCTTGGAATTCTGGGAATTCTGGGAATTCCAGTGGTGGAAGTGCCAGGAAGTAGGCTCCTGGATGCCCTCAGTGAGTCTTGGGCCCTCCCAGTCCCTTCCAGTCCCTCCCAGTTCCCTCCCTCCCAGTATGTCCCAATGCCTTCCAGTTCCCCCAATCCCCTCCCATTATATCCCAGTTCCCTCCCAGCATATCCCAGTCCCAAGCCTGTTTATCCCAGTGCCCCCCAGTCCTCTCCCAGTGACCCCAGTTCCCCTTCCAATAAATCCCATTTCATGCCCAGCCCCTCCCAATTCACTCCCAGTGATCCCAGTTCCCCGCTCAGTACATCCCAGTTCCCTCACAGTATATTCCAGTCCCTCACAGTGCCCACCAATCCCTTCCCGGTGATCCCAGTTCCTCTCCCAGTGACCCAGTTCCTCCCTCTCCCAGTCTATGCCAGTGCCCCCCAATCCTCTCCCAGTGTCCCCTGTCCTCTCCCAGTAGCCCAGTCACTGACCCTTGACCCCAACTCCAACCCAACCCCACCCACCTCTTCCAGAACATCCCTCTGGCCTCTCCAGTCTGGGACAGAATTCCCTCCTTTTCCCAAAAACTCCTTCCCTTTTTTCAACCCCCCACCATTACCTCCTCAGACACTCCCATCCAAAAGCAAGACCAGGGCCCCCCCTTCCCACCTCAAGTGGGAGCCCTTCCAAGGCCGTCTTCCCCCCGATGCCGTCTCCAGCTGGAACCGCCATACCAGGCGCCTGGAATTCGTCTGTTCCACGATGGAGCTCAGCTGCAATTCCGGCTCCTACGATCCCATCAGGGGCCCCTATTGCTACTTCCCAAACAGGGGACAGGAGAAGCACACTTCCAACTTCAACATCTTGGTCAACTCCGGCGGCTTTGAGGCCTTGGATTGGGTGGATGATTCCTTTGGCACCGTCCCAGAAAATGCTGTGGAGAGTTGCCCAACGATCGACGTCTTCGTGGGGCGGAGCCGGGACGGGCTGGGAAAGGTCTCCAAGGAGCACCGGGCGCTTTTCGTGGCACTGGGGGGGGAGGAGGTTTGGTACAAGTGGTATCAAGTCTTAGTGGTCAAGACGGGTCTGTCCGACATCTCCATCGTGGATGTCGCCTACAACCTGAGCACGGTACTGGAACATTCTGAGGATGTGGTCTTGGCCAAGGCTCCGGTGCAGAACGAAGGCTGTGGGGTAGCCCCAGGGTCCACCTTCTTGGAAGAGGCCACAGAGGCGGAGCACACGTGGCGCTCAAATCACCCCGCGCTGGCCACCGTGCGCGGGACGCTGCAGGCGGCCCCGTTGGTCCTCACCGGGACGGGCTGGGCCGTGGCAAATGTCACCTCCCTGCCGTGGGTGGGCGGGGCCAGCATCGCTAAGTTCGTGTCCCACGGGCCCCACGAGGTGCGGGAGGAGGTGCCGGCGCGCTCGGAATGCACCGCGGTGCTCCGGGGACGCCGGCTTGACCTCCAGGTGATGTTCACTGCCCAGCTCCGCCGGGAATTCCATGATGGATTCCAGCACAGTGTGGGGGTCACTGGCTGGGCACAGACCCGAGTGGTCACTGGGGTCAGTGCCAGGATTGAGCAGTGTCGAGAACTTGCCAGGGTCCTGCCGTGTCCAGCATAGGGAGGGACCTATGCTGGACTTTGGGCTGGATCCCAAAAATTCCTCCACAAAGATTTTTCCTGGTGTTTTTCCCCTGAATAATCCCACAAAATGCAATAGCAGCAACTTGGAATGCAGGGCAATGCTTGGATTTGGTGGGTTTTCCCATATTTTTGCTTTTTGTGGCACAACCTTTATCCCTTTCTGAAACCACATGGTAAAACTGTGCAAAAACATGGCATTTTCTGACTGAATTTCCTGTTTTCTCCAAAAATTCTGTGGAATCTGGTATGGGGGGTCCCTGGGACAGTTCAGAACTGGAGGGTGGAGAGGGATTGGGAGTCCTGGAATGTTGGGAGGGGTGTCTCAGAGATCTGAGGGGACCCAGGGAGCTTGGGAGGAACACAAGGATTTGGGAATGCCCCAAATTTTGAGGGGGGAGAGAAAAGATTTGGGGAGACCCCAAATTGCCTGAAGGGAGGGAGACAGGGATCTGGGAAGACCTCAAATTTCCTGGGGGAGGGGGGTGTCCCCAGAGAGGTGAGGGGGGCCAGGGGGCTGGGAGCAGTCCAGACCCACCCCGGGTGCCGTTTGCCATCCAACTGCTCCAGGAATTCCGCACCGGTTCCGGGCACAGTGAGGGGACACCAGGTGGACACCAAGGGCGAGCGGGGCCAGCAACTCACCAGGGTCCTGCTGTGTCTGGTGGAGGGAGGGGGCAGAACCCCAAAATCCATTTTTTCCTGGAGAATTCTTTGGTTTTCCCAAAAAAAGTCTTACAAAATGAGGGTGAAATAAACGAGAACGCCAGTTTTCCCATCTGCATTCTCTGTAGAATTTAAAAACTTGAATTTAAAATTAATTTCAAAACTTTAATTACGTTTCCTTTACAATTTTAATTCCTTTTTCTTCAATAAATGTAAATAATTTTTTAAAATATTTTTAAAAAATTAATTCATTAAAACTTTTGAAAATTAAATTTCAGGGAGCATTTACCTCCCACCTCCTCCTTCTTTGATCTTGTTGAAAAAAAAGATGAAGAAGTTAATTATTCCATAAGAAATCAATAAATATTAAATTATACTGGTCAAAGGATCAGAAAAAATATTTATTTTAACAGAGTTTTTTTAATTTTAGAATATTTTAGAAATTCCCCAAAGGAAAAAGACCTGTTGAAAAATCAAGACTGAACTGAAAAATTTCCTCTATAATTGATTTATTATCAAACCAATACATGGCTTCTGAGATTGTTATTTACACTTTACATATAAATTTATAAAATAGATATATAAAATATTTCTAAGGATAAAATATTACAAAATAAAAAATAAAGTATTATATAATATAAATAGAAAATACATTTACATAAATAGAAATATATAAAGTATAATTTATCATAAAATTATTATATTGCACATAAAATATATTAAAATATTTTTGAAAATAAATATATTTATCTATTTTATTTATTTTAATATATTTTTACAGATATTTATATGTTTTAATAGATTTTTATATAATATTTATATTATAGAGAGAGTCATATATAACATTTACATATTATATATTCATATCATTACATAAGAATATAAATAGATATTATATAATAAATGAATTACATACATGTATTAATATACATCTATGTATATGGGTTTGCATGGCCAGGTTTTGGTAGCAGGGGGGGTTACAGGAGTGGCTTCTTTGAGAAGCTTCCAGAAGCTTCCCCCATGTCCAGCAGAGCCAATTCCAGCAGCTCCAGGACAGACCCACCAAGGCCGAGCCCATCAGGAGTGACAGAAACGTCTCTGTGATAACATATTTAAGAAGGAGAAAAAAAAGTGATTGGGCAGATGAAATTGCAGCTCGAGAAGAGCAGAGTGAGAACGCGTGGCCAGCTCTGCAGACACCAAGGGCAGCGCGGGAGGAGGAGGAGACCATGGGCAGGAGCTGTGCCCCTGCAGCCCACAGGGCACCGCGGGAGTGCAGAGATCCACCCCCACCGGAGCAGGGGGTGCCCGAAGGAGGCAGGGACCCCATGGGAGGTCCCTGCTGGAGCAGGGTCCTGGCAGGGACCTGCTGACCCACGGGGAGAGGAGCCCACGCTGGAGTCGGTTTTCCTGGTAGGACCTGTGGCCCTGTGGGGGACCCACGCTGGAGCAGCCTGAGCCTGAAGGACTGACCCCATGGAAAAATGACCCACGTTGCAGCAGTTTGGGAAGAACTGTTGCCCGTGGGATGGGCTCATGTTGGAGAAGTTGGTGAAGAACTCTCTCTCGTGGGAGGGACCCCACAGGATCAGGGGAAGGACTCCAACTCCTCTCCCTGAGCAGCAACAGGAAGAGCAACTGACCGTAACCCCCATTCCCTGTCCCCCTGCAGCAGTGGGTGCGGAGGAGGGAGAACTTGGAAGGAAGGAGGGGTGGGGAAAGGTGGTTTTAAAATTTATTTTACTTCTCATTCTCCTGTTCAGATTCTGTTGATAATATATTTATTTAATATCCCCAATTTGAGTCTGTTTTGCCCATGATGATGATCAGTGAATGATCTCTCCCAGTCCTTATCTCAACTCATCAACCTTTCGTTATATTTTCTTTCCTCTGTCCAGTTGCAGAAGGGACTGAGAGAGCAGCTTTACTGGGTACCTGGCCTCTAGCCAGAGCCAACCCACTACACTGGACTGAGCTGACCCTGCAGGGAGAGGGGTTCCTGACCCCACTGCTGTGAAAACCTGTAGGGAACCGAGATTCTATGACCCTTGGAGAAACTCAGAAGGGGAACTTGGCAAGATAAATGCGGATGTGGTGAGATATATCCCTGTGTGTGGGAAATTGCTTGGGACTATGTTTCTCATGGACAGTGAATGCTTAACTAAAAAGCAGATACAGAGAAAAATTACCAAGAGGAATTTACTGCTGATGTAACATGGTATATAAACTGTGAAGGAACTGCAATAAATTATTCCATTATACCACACTCCTTGGGGTCCATGCCCCAGTATGCCACAAATGTCGCCCAAGTGGAGCATGCAAAATTAATCCAGAAAATATAGCCGGAATTCCAGTGGCATAGCCCAGTTGAACCAGGACAGCGACCCGGGACAGGATTTGACTGTGTGCACCCATCACCGCTGCAGGACAGCAGGTGAGCAGCTGGGAACCATGGGAATCACTAACACGGGAACAAAAAAATCAGATGGAGGTACTCACAAAGATATTAAAGATATATGGCAGTAATGTCTGCCAGTTGTCGTTGGTAACGCTGCTGGTTTGGGTACGTGACAATTGCTCCTGGTTTCCTCTAGAGGGAAACTTGAATGTTGCCGTATGGAAGCGAATTGGGGAAGAGCTGGGGCAGAAGCCAGATGAAAAAGCTTTAAATTTATTGTCAACATGGCAACAGGTGTTTTCGGCATTAAGCCACCTGTAAGCTACAAACGGAACTGATTTACTTTCTTTGGTGGGTGCACCCCTCGCAGAGAATGATTCTAAAGAGAAACAATTCCCGCTCACAACCCGAGACTCAAACCCCAGTGATCCTCTCAACCCACCCTGGGTCAATTCTGAAAAAGAGCAGATTTATATCCGCCTCCTGCTGACAATGACTCACCACGAGGTGCCTCAGGAACAGCCCTGCTAAACCCCTCACCCTGTGCCACCGCTTCTGCCACGCCCGCAAATCCAGCGCTCAGCCCGGCCCTGCACATCCGCTTCCACTGCTGCCTCCTCCGGCCCCGCCGCCCTGCACATCCACTGCACATCCAGAGTGGACCTGGTCATCTCCCGGTCAGTCTTGTTAACTGATACAGCTGTGCAGTTATTCCCCACGGGCGTTTGGGAACCACCAGGGAAAGGTTACAGCGCATTTTTGTTGGGGTGCTCATCCACAACTCATTCAGGACTTTTTGTGCTCCCTGGAATCATTGACGCTGATAATACTTGGGAGATTCACGTCATGGCTTGGACACCTCATCCTTCTTATCACATTAAAGCAGGAGAAAAGGTTTTATTTCACTGCGCAAGGTCTGAAGTGAGAGAGATGTCGCACTGGAGGTTTTGGCAGTACAAATGTACCACATATTATGTGGGCACAACAAATCTCTCGCAATCAGCCAATGCTGACTTGTCACTTTAAAGGGCAATGATTTACAGGTTTGGTGGAAACAAAAAAGGCCTGTTTGTGGTCAGCTGAGCCTGCAAGGAGCAGAAAACACAATTGAACCCCAAGCAGTGGTTCTGCAAAGGCCTTGGAAGGTTTTCAGAGGTGTGGGGTCGGGAACCCCTCCCCCTGCAGGGGCAGCTCAGAGGGAGCCAGTCAGGAAAGGCACCAGCAGAACATTCCTGTCACTCTCCCCAGGGGACTCAGGGAGCCCTAAAAACATCTTCCCCCCTCACCGCCAAAAAAAAAAAAAGGTTTATTTTGTCCTTCCCCTCAGCATGGTGTGGCACTTCCCAGAAGGCAAACTCTGGGAATAACCACTGCCCCCTTTTCTCCTCCTTCCCTCAGCTTTTCTATCTGAGCTGGCAGGGGCTGGAATATCCCTTGGGCTCATTGGGCTCAGCTGGCCTGGCTGTGCCCACCCCCAGCCCCTGGGTGGGGGGAATGTTGGGAGATAGCACTGATGCTGTGCCAGCCCTGCCCAGCAGGAGCCAAAACAGGGGCATGTTCTCTACCACTTGCCAGCTCCCCCTGCAGAGTCCAGCACTGGGAGGAGGCTGTGGGAAGAGGAACTCCAGCTCAGCCACACCCAACACAATCTCCACCTCTTATTCCACACCACTGGTGTCACACTCACATCCCACAGAACTGAGAGATCTTATGACTCTTCCGTTGGATTGATTTCTCTGAACTGAAATCCCTTCTTGCCAACACACACAACTTCAACTCCATCCCATTTCTTTGAAAAATATTTCTCACTCAAAATGGAACAAAACAGTGGCCTATAGGACATCCTGCCCTCAAATGGATAACTCTAAACAGTAAAAAATAAAAAAAATGAGCCCCTGGTATTCAAGAAAAGCTTGTAGCTATTTCCTAAAAGCATCCGTGAGCCCTGTCAGCCAATTTCGTACCTGACAAGGGTTTGGAGGGGGTGCTTTGTCACGGGAAGCCCTGGAGGCCCATGGCACAGGGGTAGGGCTGCACTGTGGGGCTGTGGGGCGCTGGTTCTTTGGTTGCCAGGGGCCATTCCGGAATGGAGAGGATAGGCCGTGACCTCCCAGAGGAGGTGTTCCCTCGGGGGAGCTCTGCAGGGCCC